CCAAGTGAGCATGCTGATACTCACCCAGGGGGTGGTCGTGAGCACTAATGGCATTTCCATGTCCACCTTCCAACACTGAGCTCACCATAGCGCAGACCTCAGTGAACAGTGCCTGTCTTTTGTTTCTTAATAGAAAATGGGGAATTCCTTTCCCTGGATCTTGGAGGATCCAAGTTTCGAGTCTTAAAGGTGCAAGTCTCTGAGGAAGGGAAACGAAATGTCCAGATGGAGAGTCAGTTCTACCCAATGCCCAATGAAATCATCCGGGGAAACGGCTCGGAGGTACGGGGCAGGCGGGGAAGGCCTTGTCACCAGGGGTGAGAAACTGTGCCTTGGGCCCATGTCCTGTGCGTTTTCTTTCTGCAGCTGTTTGACTACGTGGCTGACTGCCTGGCAGATTTCATGAAGACCAAAGACTTGCAGCACAAGAAACTGCCCCTTGGCTTTACTTTTTCTTTTCCCTGCAAACAGACTAAGTTGGAAGAGGTAAGCCTGCGGGGTTGGAGAAGGTGCACTTGCGCAGGAGCCCGGCTGGGCACAGTGGGGACAGCAGGAGCTTTCTGGATTATCTTTCCCTCCACTGTTTGCTAGTGATGAGATGGCAGAGACCTGGTTAACACCGTGGCCTTGACTCTGCTCTTAACACGAGCAAAGCACAAAGGAGGGAGTGGAATGGTTTCCAGTGGTTCTCAAACCTTGGGATGCAGTTGAAACCCCTGGAGGGCTTGGGACCCAGGTTGCTGGGATCCACAGAATCACTGGGTCTGCAGCCAGGCCCTAAATTTGCATTTCTAACAGGTAATAGGAGACACGGAGTTGCTGGTTTGAGGACCAGAGTTAGGACCATTGACACCGCTGCCTAGCATTGGAGTGGGAAGCCTCAGGCATCTCTGTGAAAATAAGTTAAGGGCCAGGGACAATGAGCTTTCTGGGGGCCCAGGGGTTACTGTCAAGAGTGAAGTCTCTCCAGGCCACTCCTGTTTGCGGGGTGGTGGCCTCTAAATCTCCTACTGCACACTCTGGCTATGACACCCAATGGTTCATCATAAGTGGCTTGGGCCACTTACTGCTTGGTGCTGGTAGTAGAGCTTCCATATCCCCCAGACCTGGCCTTGAATCACGGTGTCTCCTTGAACAAGTTACTTAACTTCCGAGCCTTTTGTTTGTTCATTCATAAAACAAGGGTGATAATATTTACTTGCTGGTTAAAGGGAAGCTTGACAGATTATTTGTAAAGAGCTTAACGTGGTGCATAAGCCATAGCCACTGGGTCCGGATGACTGTCTCTGTGCTTTTGTACCTCATTCCAAAGTCAACAGGTGTCTCTGGAGGGCAGGTGCTGTTTGTCTGATTCTCTACCTCCCCCCCCCACTTTAACAGGTGCTTTATAACTATCTTACAATTCAAAGGTGCTGTCAATCATTTGATTCCATTGAGTAGGAACTTGCCATCCTCTCTTCAGCAAAGCAAGGCTGAGGTTTTCTTTCTTTCATAAATAAAAGGATTGGGGGGAAATAACAGAAAGAAGGTTTCAGAAAATGTTTAGATGAGACCTTGATGAACTTAGATCTGAGCTTCACTGACATTGCTGTGTGTAAGAGCAGAGGCGGGCAGTTGGGAATCAGGTGTTCAAGTCAGTCCGAGGTGCAGGCTTTGAGCCAAAGATTAATCACCTGTCACCTGGGGCCCGAGGAAGCAGGGAGAGTTTCTCAGGCTTTGTGGGGGTCAGTTTACCCTCAGGATGTGTGATTAAGGGAGCTTATTTGATAAATTAAAAGTGATTAAAGAAGATAAGGGCTTGAGAATTAAAAGGCATCTACTTGGTTTGGGGGGTTTATTGCTTAATTTTTTTGGTGCTGGGGACTGAACCCAGGGCTTCTCTCACTCTAAGCATTTGCTCTGCTACTGAGCTACAGCCTTGATTTTGTGTGGGTCTGAGTATGTTCGGGGTAGGTACTGGGAATTGAACCCAGGGGCCACTGAGCTATACCCCAAACTTTTGTTTTGTTTTGTTTTTGAGATATAGTCTTGCTAAGTTGCTAGACCATAAACTTGCATCCTCCTGCCTCAGCCTCTTGAGTACCTGGGGTTACAGGCATGTGCCACTGTGCCCAGCAATCATTGTTTTCTTTCTTTCTTTTATTTTTTTAAATGAGAGAGCAGAAAAGCCAAGCCAAAGATAAATTTTTCTGTGTGTTCTCATGGTAAAATAGTCATTTTTTTTTTGAGAGAGAGAGAGAGAGAGAGAGAGAATTTTTTAATATTTATTTTTTAGTTTTCGGTGGACACAACATTTTCATTTTATTTTTATGTGGTGCTGAGGATCAAACCCAGCGCCCCACGCATGCCAGGCAAGCGCGCTACGGCTTGAGCCACATCCCCAGCCCGGTCATAATTTTTTAAGATTTAAAAAAATGAGGGTTGCCGGGTGCAGTGGTACACACCTGTAAGCCCAGAATGCTTGGGATGCTGAGGCAGGAAGATTAAGAGCTCAAAGCCAATTTTAGTAACTTAGTGAGACCCTAAGCAACTCAGTTAGAGACAGACTAACTTAGAGACAGACTTAAAGAAGAAAATAGAAATCACCTCCAATCCCAGAATTCAGAAATATCTGCTTCTAGAACTGCAGGATTTCTCATCTAGTCACATCTACATTAAATACTAATGTCATGCTGTGAATAGTTTTAAAATAAATAGTTGTATGTTATTATTTATTTTTCCACAACTTAATATTATACCACGAGCCTTTATCCCTCAGTTTCCCATACACTTTTTCCCTAACAGATCCCACATTTTCCCTGGTACCCTTTGGAGGGAGAAGCCACTCTACACCTCACTCTCTCTGATGAACCTGGATCATGAAAAGCCTATGGAGAAAAAAAAAAAAAAGCCTGTGAAAAATAAGTTAGAGAGAGCTACCGCGGGGTGGCGCTGTGGTGCAGCATAGAAACCTGGCGGCGGACCGGAGTCAGAGACCTTGCAAAGGAATGGGCTCTGGGTGTCACTCACTGTGAGAACTAGAGCAGTTCCCTGTCTCTAAATAGCAGTTTCTTTTTTCTTTTTCTTTTCTCCTCCTCTTCCTCCTCTTTCCCCTCCTCCTCTTCCTGCTTCACCAACCTTCCCCCTCCCCCTAACCCCCCCTTTCCTCCCTCTGTCCTTCCCCCTCCTTCTTTTTTACTGGGTACTGAACCCAGGTGCGTTAAACCTCTGAGTCACGTCCCCAGTCCCCTTTTTATATTTTATTTAGAATCAGGATCTCACTAAGTTGCCCAGGGCCTTGCTCTGTTGCTGAGGCTGGCTTTGAACTCATGATCCTCCTGCCTCAGCTTCCCCAGCCGCTGGGATTACAGGTGTGTGCCACAGCACCTGGCCTAAATCGAAGTTTCTTTATCCATAAGCTGAGGGGATAGGAAGAAGTGTGGTTGGGAGTTTATGAGCTTAGTCACTCTTGACTGGGTGGACTTGGGAGATTCTTTCAACCTCCAGGTTCTCTTCTAGTCTGAAAAATTATATGATTATTTGTGATTTCAGACATGAAACATCTGGGAAACATCATTTGTAAAGAAATTATTGATAATCAGGCGTGGTAACTTACTCCTATAGTCCCAGCATCTGGGGAAGTTGAGGCAGGAGGATTGAAATTTGGAAGCCAGCCTGGGCAACCTCGTGAAACTAGTTTCAAGATAAAATTGAAAGGGCTGAGAATGTAGCTCAGTAGTAAAGTGCCCTGGGTCCAAAAAAATAAAAAAGATTGATACAACTTGAAAACTATTTTTCCAAGTGGAATTAAGTTTTTGAGGGAGTCCTACAAGGTAATACCTTGCTAGTTTTTGTTTTGGGGACCTGCAAATCATACAACATGTAGATACCGTATGCCAGATATTTTCATCAGAGCATGCTTGTGTGTGTGTGTGTGTGTGTGAGAGAGAGAGAGAGAGAGAGAGAGAGAGAGAGAGAGAGAGAGAAGTGGTATTTCTTCATATCCTCCATAGGAAAGAGATATTCCAATTATACAGTTGAATAAACGAAGGCTCCAATGTCTCAGGAATCCAAGTGTTCTGTTTTTTTTTTTTTTTTTTTGGTACCAGGGATTGAACTCAGGGGCACTTAACCACTGAGCCACATCCTCAGCCCTTTTTTTGTATTTTATTTAGCAATAGGGTCTCACTTGCTAAGTTACTGAGGCTGGCTTTGAACTCTCCATTCTCCTGCCTCAGCCTCCTGAGCCACTGGGATTACAGGCATGCCCCACCACGCCTAGTAGTTCTAACTCTTCTGTAATCGCTCTGTTACTATATATCAAGTTTCAGTCTACTCACATGGGAGGGATAAATACTAAAAAAGTCATCTGAAGTGATATTAGAAGAATCTGTCCACAATAGCCAAGCTATGGACTCAACTGCAATGTCCACCAACAGATGAATGGATAAAGTGTGTCCCGTGTGCACAACAGAATATACCGTTCAGCCAAAAAAGGACGAAATTCTGTCACATACAGCAAAGTGGATGAGGCTGGAGGATGTTCAGTGAAATAAGCCAGGCACAGAAGGACAAATACCACACGATCTCACTCATTTTTTTTGAATCTGCAAAAGTTGATCTTGTGGAAGTAGAAAGTAGGATGGTGGTTTCCATCAGCTGGGAAGGGTTAAAAGGAGGGAAGGCTGAGGAGAGAAGGGCCAGTGGGTACAAATTCCCAGCCAAATAGGAGAAATAAATTCTGGTGTTCTATTGCACAGTACTATTGCACAGTAGGGCAACTATAGTGGATGAAATTATATTATACATTTCAAAAGGACTACAAGACTGAATATTCTAACCACAAAGAAGTGCTCAATGTTTGAGGTGATGGATTTGCTAATTTTCCTGATTGATCATTACACATTAGATACGTGCATTCAAACATCACACTGTACCCCATAATCTGAACAGTTTTTATGTGTCAATTGAAAACAAAATGAGAGAAAATATTGGGGGTGCTTCAGCCTAGAGAAGAGAAGCCCGTGGGTGATGTTCTGTGCACTTGATGTTTCTGCTGCTCCGTTTGGACTGGATCTGATGTCTCCCCACAGGGTGTCCTGCTTTCATGGACCAAGAAGTTCAAGGCACGGGGCGTTCAGGACACGGACGTAGTGAGCCGCCTGACCAGAGCCATGAAAAAACACAAGGTGAGGTATTGACTTTGGCACGAGGACCTCTCCCAGTCCCAGCCCCTTTCTCTTGGGGGGTCTTGTTCTGTGCCTGCCTGGAAGGAGAATCAGAGAAGGAACTTCTTCAGGGACATCCCACTGTAGCACAGATGTGGCCATTTTGGATCAACCCACTGGGGACCCTTTGTCTGTGGGGTGGCTCCCATCACTGTTGAAAGGTAGCCCAGCACCTCCCTGCACTTCCCTGAGTCCCCCACTGGCCGCAGCCCTTCAGGGGGACTTAGTTAAACCCCGGGCTGTGCATATCCACCCCTCCTCTCTCAGGCTCCACAGATGGCTTGCTCCTTGATGAGCTGGAAAGTGCAGCACAAATAAATCCCAACTGCTTGTTACCCCGAAGGAAAGAGTACACACATATGTGTGTGTGTGTGAATGTGTGTGAGTGTGTGTGTGTGTGTGTGTGTATTTTTACTGTGCCAGGGATTGCACCAGGGCCTCTCCAGTGCTAGCTGAGTGCTCTGCCACCGAGCGGCGTCCCCAGTGCAGAGGGCTGTTGTGCTGTGCAGCCTTCTGGTCTTTTTTCTCTTTAAGGCTGGGCTTCTATTCCTTGGTAGCCTTCATTTTTCTCTTAACATTATCAGTTTATTTAAAAATGTTCCTCCAACCCTGGGGAACCCTGTGCAATGACCCAAGTTGACTTGGCAGAAAAGGAAACCACGGCATGACCCCTGGAGGGGGGCTTGCTGGGGACCAGGTTCCTGTGGCGAGACTTTGGCTTTCTTCCCTAGAGACACCGTTGCGCCCAGCATAGGTGTGTTTTCCTCTGTGCGCTCTCAGGCTTCCTCACACAAGGGTGTGGGGAACAACCCTCCTGATGGGCTGTCCATATTCCCTCTGCACGGAGGCCTTCACCCTCAGAGGAGGAGCACAGGTCCCCTCTCCCTCTCCCTCTCCCGGCCTCTGACCTTCATACACCCCACTTCTCCCCGCAGGCCCAGCAGGAGGAATCTAGTGATGTCTCAACTAACTGCTTTCCTAGGGAAGGGGAAGGGTCCTACCTCCTTCCCACCCACTGATGCTCTCGGGGCCTTGTGTTCAACAGGACCTGGATGTGGATATCCTGGCTTTAGTCAATGACACCGTGGGGACCATGATGACATGTGCCTATGATGATCCCTACTGTGAAGTCGGTGTGATCATTGGTAACTCATTTGAACTTATTTTTCGGAGGTGGGAGAAAGGGGCTTGTTTGGAGCTTAGTTTCAGCAAAACCTGAGTAAATGATGGGGGGGCTGACCCTGTCCATTTAGGAGAAGCGACTTAAGGAGATGGGAAATTGATTCATTCATTCACAAGTGTTTCCCGCAGGCTGTGGTGTGTGGGCCCTGGCCTGAGCCCTGGGCTTGCAGCCGTGGGCTCCTGTGCTCTTCTAGAGTTTGCAGAGGGGAGGTGGGGAAGGACAGGGAGACTGACACTCATAAAATAATTTCTGGTGGTGGTGAGCATGATGAAGAAGTTAACACAGGCTGCCATGACAGAGTGAGGGGTGAGGAGGAGAGGAGGAAGAGAGGGAAGGGTGGAGGTGGAGGGAGAGGTGTCCCTGGCAGGGAGGAGCCTCTAACCTCAGAGATGAGTCCAGGCTGCTCGAAGGAACCTCAGAGGCTGAGGGTGGCTGCATCAAGTAGGAGAAGGCTGGTCGGGGAGGGTGGGAGGAGGGGGAAAGGCCACCAGCTTTTATCCAAGAGGGATGAGAAGCCCTGGAGGACTTTGAGTGGGGGTTGGATAAATGGATAAGTGTTTTAAAAAGCTTTCTTTGGCTGCTGCATGGAGGATCAATTCATGGGGACAAGGATGATCAGTCAAGAGGCTGTGCTGTCAGGGGACATCAGGAGCCCCAGAGATATCCAGCAGGTGGGAGGGGCTCTGCAGGAGGGCCCATGAGAAGGCAGGAGGGACCTGGTCTCTAGGTTGTTCTTGAATAGCCACTTCTCCCCTTCCCATTTCTCTACCATGACTGGGAAAGTTTTCTGAATTGATCTGTCTTAATCTCCAAAAGCACCTCCTCAGCCCGACTGTCTGGAAGGGCAGAGTCTTTAAACCTGAGCAGCTTCCTGTGCCTTTCCATTTCCAGGAGCGCCACACCTCAGAATGGGGTGGCCTCCACCCATGACATCCAGCTGCTATCCTGTGGACAGGATCTCACTGAGTTGCTTAGGGCCTTGCTTTTGCTGAGGCTGGCTTTGAACTCGTGATCCTCCTGCCTCAGCCTCCTAAGCCGCTGGGATTACAGGCATGCGCCACTGAGCCTGGCCACGTTCTGCTTTCTTACATTTCCCATTTTTTCATGTTGGCATTTCAAATACTCAGTCCAGCATGTCAGAGAAATAGAAAAAAAATATTTTAAAGACATCTAAAGCAGCTTGTCTGAGGAATATTAATTCTCATGCTACAGGTGTGCAGTTCAGTGGCTTTTTGTAAACTAACAGAGCTTCATCAATATCCTTTCTAATTTTAGAACATTTCCATCAACCTAAAAGACTCCAAAAAGACTCCCCTTGCAGGGTTCCCCAATACTGAAGTATTTGAGGGATTTTCCTGTAGTGATCTTGTATTTGGATATGAATCGTTACTTTCTTAGGTGCTAGTTAATCACTGTCACAGAGAAGATAGCGCATATGCTAGAGCCACTTTTAGCAGGGGGTAAGTAGAGTATTTTTAGTGTCAAATAAAAAGGAATGTCAGTAGCTTACAGAGCAGCTTGCTCTGGGTTGGGTGAGTGGGCTTCCCCCCCAATATTTACAAGATTAGCTTAACTCAGCCTTCTCTTCTAAGTGCGCTTTGTCAGCTTTCATGCATATTCATGAGGGACGGCTTCATAATTGACTCCATTCATAACCGCCATCCATTAACACACTGAGAAGCACGGGCTCGGCATGTCAGCTCTATTCCTCATGAGCTTGAGGCTTGCCAAAGCTGCTCTCCTCTGCCAGCACCAGCCCTGGGGAGTGGATCAAAAGCACTTTGTGTGCATTCTTCAGGACTCCAGGCAGTTGGGTTCTCCATGTCCTGCCCAGCCGGGCGCCCTTTCCTCTTTGCATATTCTCTCTGATCCCTTTTCCAGGAACTGGCACCAACGCATGTTACATGGAGGACATGAGCAACATTGACCTTGTGGAAGGCGACGAGGGGAGGATGTGCATCAACACAGAGTGGGGGGCCTTCGGGGATGATGGGGCCTTGGAGGACATCCGCACCGAGTTTGACAGGGAGCTGGACCTTGGCTCGCTCAACCCGGGGAAACAACTGTGAGTGCCCATTTGCTCTGATCTGGGCATCGGCACCAGGCACTGCCTGATCCCTGGTGCCTTGTACCTGGGAGGCTCTCCACGTGTGACCAGTCATCTGTCACAATGAGTTTATAAGGCAAGGCTTGTATTTCAGTTTTATTTGGCAGATGAACAGATGGAAGCCAAGGAAGTGGTCTGGCTGTCTCCTAGGTCATATCCCTAGCTCTAGTTCCGCCCGTATTTCTGGAGTAGGATGTGCTTCAAGGCGTTGGAGATGAGGCCGTGAACCAAACCACAGGTCTGGCCCTCTTGGAGCACATAGGCAAGCAGCCACAGAAGGAACCCAGGCATGCCAGGTGCGGTGGCACACGCCTGTCATCCCAGAGGCTCGGGAGGCTGAGGCAGGAGGATTGTGAGTTCAAAGCCAGCCTCAGCAACTTAGTGAGGGCCCAAGCAACTCAGTGAGACCCTGTCTCTAAATAAAGTACAGAAAAGGGCCTGGCCAGGCCTTCCTTCTGTGTCTGCTGACCACACCCTTCCCAGCCTCATCCCATACACGTCTCTATATTTAGGTGTCTGCCGCAGCTCTTCATCTACATGCTGAGCTCCCTGAAGGCAGCTTACACGATTGACCTTCCTTTCCTTTCTACACACTGAGTCTTACACATTATTGAACTTCATTGAGAGTTTGTTAAGTGAAAGAATGTTTAAATTAAGAAAAAAACCATATATATATGTGAAATATATATATTTTCATTCCCCTAGTACCATATATATATATATATGGTACTAGGGGAATGAACCCAGGCCGCTTAACCACTGAGCCACATTCCTAGCCTTTTAAAAAAATTTTATTTTGAGACGAAGCCTTGCTAAGTTCCTTAGGGCCTCGCTAAATTGCTGAGGCTGGCTTTGAACTTGTGATTCTCACCCTCCCAAGTTGCTGGGATTAGGGGTATGTGCTGCTGCACCCCATAAAAATTAATTTTGAATTACTGAAAAGTTATGAAAGTAGTACAACGTTTCCCCATACCCATTCACTCAAATTCCCCAAATAGTAATATTCTATCTCTCTGTATATATGTATGTCTGTGCTTATAACACACATAATATACACTTACATATGTATGTATAAGATTATTTTTTCTGAGCCAGGTGCAGTGGCACATGCCTATAATTGCAGCAACTTGGGAAGCTGAAGCAAGAGGATTGCAAGTTCGAGGCCAACCTCAGCTATATATATATATTGGGTACTGGTGATTGGATTCATGGTCTAGCAAAGCTATCACTCTGCCACTGAGCTACATTCCCCACTTTTAAAATATATTTTATTTTATTTTATTTTTTTAAATGGTAGTTTCTTTTTTTTTTAAGAGAGAGAGAGAGAATTTTTTAATATTTATTTTTTAGTATTTGGCGGACACAACATCTTTGTTTGTATGTGGTGCTGAGGATCGAACCCGGGCCGCACGCATGCCAGGCGAGCGCGCTACCGCTTGAGCCACATCTCCAGCCCTAAAATATTTTTTAAATTAATTTTTTTATCCTCACTCTTTTAAAAAATTTTTTCTTAGTTGTAGATGGACATAATATGTTTATTTTATTTATTTATTTTTATGTGGTGCTGAGGATAGAACCCAGTGCTTCACACGTGCTCGGCAAGCACTCTACCACTGAGCTACCCCCCCCCCCCCCAGCCCCACCCTTTTTATTTTTTATTTTGAAAGTAGCTGAGATTACGGTTATGCACCACGTGCCTGGCCCCCACCAGTGTCTTTTTTTTTTTCTGAGCTTTATAGTTATACATAGTAGTTGGGCTCATTCTGACCAACAAACACAAAAAAAATCGATTTCAGTTCATGATCCTCCCTTTCCCTCCCATCCTCCCTCCCCTCTCCCATGCTCCTTCTACTCTACTTACTTTTGCTTGTCTATTCACCAATGTCTTTTTAAAATATATTATTTAGTTGTAGATAGACACAATACCTTTATTTTATTTATTTTTAAATATTTATTTTTTAGTTTTAGGTGGACACAATATCTTTATTTTACATTTCTGTGGCTCTACCACTAAGCCACAACCCCAGCCCTTATTATTTATTTTTAATATTTGTTTAGTTGTAGATGGACACAATATCTTTATTTATTTACTTTTATGTGGTGCTGAGGGTCGAACCCAGTTCACATGTGCGGGGCTGGTGCTCTACCACTGAGCTACAGCCACAGCCACCCCCTTTTTTAAATGAGTTTCAATTTCTTCCTATCATTGTTTAATTTGATGCTCCAAGTTTTTTCTCCAGATTTAGCCAAAGGAAGTCCCTTCAAGCTGACTCCTGCGTCCTCATGACATGTTTTCATTGCTCTTAAGTAGCTTGTCCTTTAGCGCAGAGAACATGTCCCAAGTTCATTTCCCACTTTCCCAGCCCCAGACACCTTGGTGAATGAATATTTAGGCACTTCCTAGAAATCATTCAAACACTAGAAATGCAAACCCTCACAGCACATTCCTGCCTTGGCTGTACCCACACCCAGCATACCCCAGCTTCCCTGGGGACCCCAGGCAGTCATGTTCCAAGGAAGTGGTGCCCATTTTTTTTTTTTACTTTTTTCATTTTTATCCGTTTCCATTTCACTTAAGATGAATTCCATTCTCTTGAATCCTACCTGAATTTCATTTGATTGTTTTCTGTTTCTTCAATGTTCTAAGATTTTTAAAAAGTGAAATATGCAAGGTAGATTATGAAATAGATTGCCCTTGACTTTGTGTCATATCATGTTTGGAAAATGAAACTTGTAGTTCACCTGGTGGGGGGCTGAGGATTAGCAGCTGTCTGGTGTGCAGACTCAGAGGTATAGGTAGCCTTCCAGATATTGCATCCACCTTATGGTGGATCCTCTGTCTCACAGACAGCACTGTAACAAATACCTGAGACAATTTACTTATGAGAAGGAAAGTTTATTTTGGCTTGCAGTTTGGGAGATTCCAGTCTATGATTGGTTGGCCCCACTGCTTTTTGGCCTGATGTGGGTCAGCATATCATGGTGGGAGCATGTGGCAGAGGAGGCCCATTCACCTCCTGGATGGGCGTGAGAAAAAGAGAGGAAGAGGGAGGGACTAGAATCCCAACATCCCTTCCAAGGACACTCTCCAAGTGACTGGACAACCACCTTGTGGTCCCATTTCTTAAAATCCCATGACTTCCCAACAGCATTACACAGATTGAGCACCAAGCTTATGACACATGAGCCTTTGCAGGACACTCTAGGTCCAAATGATAGCAGCATCTTTCTCTCTTGGATAGAAGCTCAATGGAAGTACCTGAAATGTGATTTGTCATGCAATGGTTATGTGATTCCTAGGAAAGGAATGTTGAGTTTCCTTATGCCCAAAGTAAGCATGGCACCCCCACAGCCAGGGTGATTTGAGATAAAGATTCTTGGAGCCCAGCATTTTGTGAACAGGTAGGAATCTTAGATCTTCTCCAACTTAGCCCTTTCCTTGATGAAGAGTGTCGAGGAAAGGATGGTGCTCTTCTGCCAACGGCGTGCTGCACCTGGGCTGGGCTGAGGCCTCCTGATCCACAGAGCTCTTATCCTGCTCTTGACCTTGAGCCATGGCTCCTGGTCTTTGGGATATGATGCTGCATAACCAAAGATGTGGCTTCCACTGATGTGTTCACCAAATTGCAGGTTTGAGAAGATGATCAGTGGCTTGTACCTGGGGGAGCTCGTCAGGCTCATCTTGCTGAAGATGGCTAAGGCTGGCCTCCTGTTTGGTGGTATGAAATCCTCTGCTCTCCACACTAAGGGCAAGATCGAAACACAACATGTGGCTGCCATGGAGAAGTAAGTCACTGACTGTGTCCCTCCTGCCTTGCCTCTGTGGGAGGTGGGTGGCCAGCGGAGCCACCCGTAGATTTGGTGATTTGAGTTCTTACACTTAGATCCCTTCAATGGGCTGCTGGTGGAGATGGCTGGCCTTAGTCATCTCAGTGTCCTGTTCCTCAGGCTGAGAATCCCTGGCATTGCCATGGGCTGTGTAATCAGTTTCGATTCAGCAGACTGGCACTCACCCGGAGTCTGGGACTATGCAGATTTGGGCTACATAGCACAGCGTGGTTAAAAGTATGGGCCATAATCTAATTACCTGAGTTCAAATCTTGGCTCTAGCACTTATTAACTGTGCCACCAAGGACAGGTTACCCTTGTTGTGACTCACCTCTCTCATCTGTACAATTTGGTAGTGACACTGCTTTTCCTTAGTATTTTTGTGGAGATTGAATGTGTTAATACATGTGAAATCCTTAGACAAGTACCTGGCGTATAGTAAGTACTCAATAGATAGTAACTGTTCTTATCAATGTTGATATTGTCATTCCTCTGTCACCATGAACCAGTCTATTTGTATAATCCTGAGAGGTAGGAGAGCTGGTTCCCCCAGGAGGATGTCCATGGCATGGGGAAGTGTGGTCCTCTCATTCCTGTCCCCTGGCCAGGTACAAAGAAGGCCTTGGTAATACAAGAGAGATCCTGGTGGATCTGGGCCTGGAGCCCTCTGAGGCCGACTGCATTGCTGTCCAGCATGTCTGCACCATCGTCTCCTTCCGTTCCGCCAATCTCTGTGCAGCAGCGTTGGCGGCCATCCTGACGCGCCTCCGGGAGAACAAGAAGCTGGCGAGGCTCCGGACCACGGTGGGCATGGATGGCACACTCTACAAGATACACCCTCAGTGAGTGCCGCCTGTCCACCTGCAACCCCTCCAGCAGGTCTCTCCTGGGGCCGGGTTCCAGTGTTCTCACTGAACGATGCTGTGTATCTGGGCAGCTGGAATGGAACACCCCTGTATAGTTCTAAGATTAAAAGGAAACGGTGAATCCAAAGCCTACTTTCCCCTAAATGGTTGGGTGCTTTTGGGAATCACTCACGAAGACATAGTCTGCTCAAGCCAATTGCCTAATTAGGAAGGCCATCTATCCATCTACCCATCCATCTATATGGGTGTCTGTCCACCCATATATCCATCCATCCATCCATCCATTACTATCTACCCATTTCATCCATCCATCTACCCATCCAACCATCCATCTACCATCCATCCATCCATCTACCATCCATCCATCCATCCATCTTTCATTCGTTATTTATTGAAACCTACTAGGTGGTAAGATTGGAAAATAATTTACACCCAGTTAGAGATGGGAAAAAACAGCAGTGGCAGAAAAACAGAATGGAATCCCCTTTGACTAATGGAGGTCAGGCTGGAAGTTGAGTGGGTACACCCTAGAAAGGGCTAAGAAGAAGATTCTTCTTTAGACAGAGAAGATGCCCAGCTAATACATTATGCATGGATGTACCCCACTGGTGAAATATTAGCTGATCAAATAGGCATTTCCTTGAGCCTCTCAAGTGTCCTTCCACTGTCCCAGCTGTCCTCGTCACCCTCCATAGCATTTAGCAACTGCAGATGCAGTCCCCACTCCACCTGGGTCTCTTCCCATTAGTCAGACCTGACTGTTGATATTTTGCATTACTCCTACTTCCAGGTACCCCAAACGCCTGCACAAGGTGGTGAGGAGACTGGTCCCAAACTGTGATGTCCGCTTCCTCCTGTCAGAGAGTGGCAGCACCAAGGGGGCCGCCATGGTGACGGCAGTGGCTTCCCGTGTGCAGGCCCAGAGGAAACAGATTGATGAGGTGCTGGCCTTGTTCCAGCTGACCCAGGAGCAGCTGGTGGGCGTGCAGCACAAGATGCGGACTGAGCTCGAGTACGGGCTGAAGAAGAAGACGCAGGCGCTGGCCACAGTCAAGATGCTGCCCACCTATGTCTGCGGGATGCCCGATGGCACAGGTGGGTCCGCAAGCCCTCTGTTCTGAAGGGCCACCCAGAGCTTCCATCAAAACTCCCTAAGTTGGGTGTGGTAGTGTACTTCTGGAATCCCAGCAGCTCATGAGGCTGAGGCAGGAGGATTGTGAGTTCAGAGCCAGCCTCAGCAACTTAGCAAGGGCCTAAGCAACTCAGTGAGACCCTGTCTCTAAATAAAATACAGAAAAAGGCTGGGGATATGGCTCAATGGGTAAGTTCAATCCCCAGCACACACTGTGCCCCCCCAAAAAAAACCCTCCCTAAATCCAGGGAGGTATTCGGTTTTTAGATCGTTGGATTCATGTCTGTAATGAAAGGAGGAGATGGGGGTTCACTCTCCTTCTGAACTGTGGCCTCAGTTGACCCAAGGGGGGGGGGTGTGTGTGCGATCATGCACGCACATGTGTCTACATGTGTAGGTAAGGACGTGAGCAGACCCATTCTAGGAGCAGACAGAAGGCTCAGGTCCTCCTGTCCCTGAGTGTCCGTCTGGGTCATTGGGCTGGTGTGGGCTGGTCGTCCTGCTGGTTCTCTCCTGGGGCTTGGACTGCTCTCCTTCCTCTCATCGGTTTCTGCCCTGGACTTTTTCAACTCTTGATCCTGGTCCTGCGCCTCGGGCTCAGGGGAGAGAAGCCTCTGAAGAGGACAGTAAGTTCTTTAGAAAAGATATTTTACCTCTTCGAATCTCATGGACTTCTTACTGAAATAATGACCTTTGTGAGCTGATTCACATCTTATAATTTGCATTTGAACCTTTACTTCCATTTCATCTCCAAAAACACTTTGTATGTTTCTCAAAGAGGAAATGATTCCCATTTTATGGATACCCAAACTGAGACTTAGGGATTTAGTGACCTGCTGAGGTCACCTGTTCTGGATCTCTAAACAACGAAGATCTTTCTGAAGCCCAAATCCTTTGAGTTTACATGAGAAACACACCCACACATACACATACACACCCAAACACACCAAAACCCCAAATCCAGCTGGGTGTGGTGATGCACACTTAAGATCATGATGACTCAGAAGGCTTAGGCAGGAGGATCACAAATTTGAGGCCAACCTTCGCCACTTAGAATCTGTGTCAAAATAAAAAGGACTGAGGATGTAGCTCAGTGGTAAGTGCCCCTGGGTTCAAGGTTCAATGCACCAAAACAAACAACTCCCCTCCAAAAAAAAAAAAAAAAAAAAAAAAAACACAAAAACTTCAAAAACCTCCCAAAATAAAAACAAAGAAAAATCAAATATATAAAAAAATCTCATAATTACTTAATTATTCATATTCTTCATTTCTTTCATCCTTCTGCCTTCACTCCTCAAAGCTCTGTTACGAACCTACTGCTCTATTCCAGGCACAGTAACCGAGCAGTGAAGTATAGCCCCTGCCCTTGTGGGTGGGGCTCACAGCTGCTAGGCAATGAATGAGTAAGTGATATCAGGTGTTGAGGATCTCGAGTTCAAAACCAGTCTCAGCAAAAGAGATGCAGTAAGAAACTCAGTGAGTCCCCGTCTCTAAATAAAATACAAAAAAGGGCTGAGGATGTGGCTCAGTAGTCGGGTGCCCCTGAGTTCAATCCCTGGTACCCACGCCCCCCACCAAAAAAAAAAAAAAAGTGAGTGAGGCTGAGCGCAGGGAGAAGGTTCTTTGGGAAGGAGGCAGATGATGCGGGCAGCAGGGAAGCCAGAGGCTCTGACTGCACATGGGGCCCACAGGTACCAAGGGGGAAGGACTTGACACGGTTTTTCATTAGTCAGGCTGGGGTGTGTGGGGATCAGGGGAAGGAGAGGGAGCAAGAAAAGTCATCCCATGGTGTGACAAGGATCCCTCTAGGCTGCACAGACAGGATGGAAACACCTTCCGGAGTCCTTGTGGTCAGGGTCACCTAGCCCAGAGTCACCCTCAGAGGCCTCTTGCAAGTCAGTTTCAGTGTGTCCTTTACCAGACGCTCTGTTCCTAGAATACGGTGCCTTGGGGCTTCCTAACAGGCCACTGCAGGGTGGAACTTAGAGCCTGAAAGGCCCTCAGAGGCCCAACCTCTTATTCTGCAGATGTGGAAAGGCAGGGCCTGGCCACCCTTGCTTAAGATGAAAAGCCATCTTTCAGAGCCACTAGGTCCCTTTCCTGCAGTTCAGGGCCCTTTTTGTGTCACCTCACCAGTGATAGTTTAGGGGCACCTGGCCTTTGCAGTCTGGCCTCAGACAGGTGCAACCTCCCTGTGCAGGACCCTGACCCTCTGGTCTGGAGCCCAGGAAGGCCGGCTCCAGGTCTGCTGGGCTTGGGCCTCTCCTCCTCCCCCCAGTGCCCTGACACAAGTCCCTGCTGAGTGCATGCTGGAGAACACAGCCTTCACTTTCTCCCCACAGAGAAAGGAAAGTTCCTGGCCCTGGATTTAGGGGGGACTAACTTCCGGGTCCTCCTGGTGAAGATCAGAAGCGGACGGAGGTCAGTGCGAATGTACAACAAGATCTTTGCCATCCCCCTGGAGATCATGCAGGGCACTGGCGAGGAGGTGAGTGTAGGGAGGGAGTTTCGTGCCCCGTGGGCGCTGCTCGCACCCTGATGGGTGCCCAGTGGCATGGATGTGTCTCTCCCCCCAGCTGTTCGACCACATCGTGCAGTGCATCGCCGACTTCCTGGACTACATGGGCCTCAAGGGTGCCCGGCTGCCTTTGGGCTTCACCTTCTCCTTTCCCTGCAGGCAGATGAGCATTGACAAGGTGAGGCAGCTTGCGGGGGCCACTCTCCTCCTCTGGGGCAGCTCAGGTTTCCTCCCAGGCACTCTTGACTTGGTTGAGGAGTCGGAATTCAGAGCAGCTAGAAACACATGGTGGAATTTTTTTTTTTTCTTTTTTTGTACTGGGGATTGAAGTCAGGGACATTCCACCACTGAGCCACATCCCCAACCTTATTTTGTATTTGATTTAGAGACAGGGTCTCACTGAGTTGCTTAGCGCCTCACTGTGGCTGAGGCTGGCTTTGAACGTGGGATCCTCCTGTTTTAGTCTCCTGAGCTGCTGGGATTACAGGTGTGCACCACTAAACTGGGCCATGGTGGAATATTTTAACGATTAAAAAAAAAATGTGTGTATGTTTTTTCTTGTTGTTGTTGTTCAAATCCAGGACTTGCTATTTATTAGCCATGTGACTTTGGATGATTTATTTAACTCTCTGTACTTTAATTTCCTCACTTAAAACATGAGGATAGCTGGGCACGGTAGTGCACAATTGTAATCCCAGGGCTTGGGAGGTTGAGGCAGGAGGATGAAGAGTTCAAGCCAGCCTCTGCAAAAAATGAGGCCCTAAGCAACTCAGTGAGACTCTGTCTCTAAATAAAATACAAAATAGGGCTGGGGATGTGGCTCAGTGATCAAGTACCTCTGAGTTCAATCCCTTGTTCCCTTTCCCCCACAAAAATGAGGATAAATATACACCCTTTTTTAAAGGTATGTTTTATGGATTCCAAAATTTCTCTGCAATTATATTTGAGGAATATTTTGTTCAGTGAAGGAATGTAACAGGTCCCTGTCAAGTGATTTAGAAAGATCTAGAAGGAGCATCATTGAAGAAGAAAACAAATAGCAGTAGTTTATACTGTATAAATTATTTACTTAAAAACATACATAGGCATAGAGAAAAAGATCTGGAAGGACTCCTACTGGACTAATAGTACAGGTGACCTCCTAGTAGTAGAGGTGATGGGGAGTCAGAAGGGAATGCATTCTTGTCAGTCATGTTTTGTTCTTTAAAGATGATCCTATCCCTGTGTCACTGTGGCCCGAGGAATCAATACATTGTGGGGGAGGGGGAGCTGTGTGCAGCTGTCCACGGTCCTGAAGGGCTGATGGGCTCCAGGACACAGTTGTGCTTCTGACCCAGGGCACTGGGTTTCTAGGGCCTCTTCTTCCAGCTGTTCTGACAAGTTTGTTCTGACAAGATGAGCAAGTGGGTAGCTGGGAACAAAACCCGCCCATGGCTGGAGGAAAAAAGAGATTAAAAGTAGATAACATTTTTGTGTAACTGCAGTTTACAAGAGAGAGGTATTTCAGTTGGGTTGTCTCTGATTTGTCTACACATGTCAAGCAGGAAAGGAGCAAGGTGGCCCAGTTTCTTGAGGACTGAGGAGAAAAGGAGGGAGACCGGGGCTTGCTGGCCGAGGGCCTCAGGGTGAGGTGGCATCGAGCCACAGGGGGGGGGGCACTCCCGGCGGGTTTGCTGGCCACCTCTCCTTCCCAAGACCTCTGTTGGCCCAGATACCCCAGCTCTGCCAGCTGTCCCCTCTCCTGACTTTCTGGGCTGCAGAGCTAGGGCTAGAGTGCCGTCTGCTTCAGGCTAACAGGACAACCTTGGGCTTCTCTTTAAAATTAAAATACTTCTCAAAATTGTAAAATATCTGGGCATGGTGGCGCATGCCTGTAATCCCAGCTCCGGAGGCTGAGGCAGGAGGATCACGAGTTCAAAGCCAGTCTCAGAAACTTAGCGAGGCCCTAAGCATTCAGTGAGATTCTGTATCTAAATAAAATATAAAAAAGGGATGTGGATGTGGCTCAGTGATTAAGCACCCCTGGGTTCAATCCCTGGTACCAAAACAAAAACAAAACAAAACCAAAAATAGTGTTTCAGATCTTTTTCCAGATTCATGTGCATATGTAATTTTTAAAAATAAAAACAGAATGATTCACTATCTGTATTTGTTTACTGAGCTTTCACTTAACAGTGCCTAAGGGACATTGTTCTCTAACATCCAGTGTTCTCCTGCAGCATACTTTCAGAGGTTTTTAACATTTTTTATATTCCTGCATAAGATGATAGGTCTCCTGGATATTGTTGCAATCATAGGATGCCTCTAGTTTCTCACTGTGGAACAATGCTTTGTCAAACATGTTGTAACTGCACCTTTGATCCCATCTCAATCCATCCCAGGATGAATTAGAAGTGGGACTTCTTCTCTGATCCCAGGCTTTGATTCTGGGCAGTAATGGCAGGGAACATGGCTGACCCTTGAAGAACAGGAATTGTGGCAGTGACTCCACACAGTGCTAGACCTTGTCAGGGCATCCTGCTCAGTGATACCTCCGTGCTGTGTTAGGGCTGCAGAGGCAGAAACACAATCAAAAGCATGTGTGCTTGGCTCGCCATCAAATTGTCAGTGTCTAGTAGAAGTCGAGGTTCACGGTGGTCCTTGTGAACTATGGCTCAGATGAATTTCCCCTCCTTTCTTTCAGGGAACACTCATAGGGTGGACCAAAGGCTTCAAGGCCACCGACTGTGAAGGGGAGGATGTGGTGGACATGCTCAGAGAAGCCATCAAGAGGAGAAATGTAGGCCATGTGTTGAGTCTCATGCCTGACCTTGCCCCCTTCCCCTAGGCCCTCTGCTCTGCCACCCTCTGCCCAGTCCCCGTGACTCCTCCACATCCTGCTTCCAGTAGAACTTCCTCCTTTGCAGGAGTTTGACCTGGACATAGTTGCAGTTGTGAATGACACAGTGGGGACCATGATGACCTGTGGCTATGAAGATCCTAATTGTGAGATTGGCTTGATTGCAGGTAAGTGGTTAGATAGTTGCCTGGACTACTATGTTGAGAGTAGTTCTAAGGCCAGGTCATAGGCAAGGGAAAAAATGGTGGTTTACAGATGTCACATGTTTGCTAATCCCATCCCAGTCCTCAAGAGATTCTCACACAGCAAGAGGTGGTGCGGGTGGGGCAACTCACTATTTCTCCATTATGCAGATGCTTTGTCCAAGGCAGAGAAGAAATTAATTAAGATTGGGACTCCAGGTTGCCTAATTTTGAAATCTCTACTTAGTATCTTCTTCCATTAAGTGTTCTAATTCAGGTTCATCCTTTTTGTTGAGGAAGGAGATGACATAGAAAGAAGGGATTTTTTTCAAATGATGGCTTTGGGACAGACTTTCTTAGGAAGAAAGAGACCAGAATTGAATCACTTTGGACCCAATGTGCACCAACTTGTTTCTCTGGATTCTTCTAGTTCTTAGGGTACGTAGGAAGGGGATGAGTTGGAAAGAAACTGAGAAGAGGGGAAGAGAGTGGCCTGAGATGATACAGACATTTTAGGGACCTTTGGAAGAAATTTGGCAGTGATTAAGGCCAAGGTGGATTCCAAATAGGGACGACCTTCTCTAAGAGGTTGAGGGACACGTGGTTGAAGCCATCTCAGCAGATCTGCATCTCTTTGTTCTGCCTGCTGCTTATATTCAAGGTGCCCAGATGACCCTCTGGAACAACTTCCCCAGACCAGCCAGCTGAGTACAGAGCTGGATTCATCCAGTCCCGTGGTGCTGGGGATTGATCCCAGGGCCTTGTGCACTTGTGCATGTGAAGCAAGCACTCTACCAACTAAGCTCTATCCCCAGCCCTCCAATCCTGATTCTTATTCACTGCCCCACGCTGCCCAAGACCTCATGGTGTCTTAGAGAACTAAATTCCCTTTGCAATTTCTTCTAGGGACAGGAAGCAACATGTGCTACATGGAGGAGTTGCGGAACATTGAGCTGGTGGACGGGGATGAGGGCAAGATGTGTATCAACACAGAGTGGGGAGGATTTGGAGACAATGGCTGCATAGAGGACATCAGGACCCAGTACGACAAGGAGGTGGACGAGGGGTCCTTGAATCCTGGCAAACAGAGGTGAAGAGGGTGGATGTGGACACTTATACAGGGTGTGCAGGGAGCAACTTTACAGGGCCTAAGGGCGGGTGCTATTTCTGTGTCGTTGACATGATAGCTTTGCATGTTTATTATAACTCTCCATCAGCTGTCAATGCAATGAAAGAAAAATATGATGTTTCCCACAGGTAGAAGGAAGGGGTCTCTTTTTCTGATTTCCAGAAGGCACTGTAAGGACTAGTCTTGGCTCTGGAAGCAAGGTAGAGCTGTCAGAGGTCTACTCACTGGGGCTGGGGGCAGAGCAGGGGTGTGCTCGCTTAATGAGTTCTCTGAGATGGACGCTTAATCAGTCCACTTTAGAAATCGACATCCTTGGTCTTTTAAGATCTGCTACCAGGTTGGTGATCTCTGGTCTGGGGGACAAGAAAGAGGGCCCCTGTGGTGGATGGGGAGGGAGGGCTTGTTCTCATGGGCAACAGCATGTCACATCATGGGTCACCATCCATGGCGATGTATATACCAATTACTCATCACACTAAAAACACTAGGAAAAATGACTTTTAAAAATTGGGACTAGATTTTCTCTTGCACTGTGATATGCCTGCTGGAGTGGGGGAGAGAGTGGTAGATTGGGCTGTTATATAAGGCTTTGATGATTGACCTGGGCCCACAAACTGGAACAGGGGGTGGCGAACCCCTTCTGCAGAGCACCAGGTGGTAACTGTTTTTGCAGGCCAAAGGGTCTTTATTACAATCAAGACTCGTATCTGCATATGCAAATTAAGGGGAAATACAGATATATTGACACTGGGAGGGTGGGCAGGTAGGATGTGATGAGATACCTGGGCCAGGGACACCTTCGTGACTGTTCCTAGAATGTTGTCTAGAAGAGGCTCAGGCAAGGCTAGGACCAGCCCTTGGGCCCCTTGCCTGCCTTTGGCATCAGTCTTTGTCCCTGGAAGGCAGGTGAGCTTTGGTGAGGTCAGCTAAACAGGAATTGCTCCAAAAAGAAGGTAACTTATCTTTGTTTTGGATTTTGTTTTTGGTACCAGGGTTTGAACCCAGGGGTGCTTTACTACTGAGCCACATCCCCAGCCCTTTTTGTTTTTATTTTGAGACAGGGTCTCCCTAAGTTGCTGAGGCTGGCTTTGAACTTACGATCCTCCTACCTCAGCCTCTGGAACTGCTGGGATTACAGGCATGTGCCACTGCACCTGGTGGGACCTTATCTCTGCATCCCAAATATCAAGGCTCTTCTTGAGGGGCAGAGTCCTTGTGCCATAATTTTGTGTTTGTATCCACTGGGGCCCATGTTTTTGGACAGTTTAAGGGCCGAACACTTGAATCGGCCTCGCAGTCACCATTATTCTTCTGTCCTGGTGTTTGGTTTCTTAGGCTGAAAAGATCTCTTATCCTTTAGAGAGCAGGAGGCCAGCATGGAAGTCTTAGGAATGCTCCTATCTCCATTGGCCTCTGCAGCCAGTGGGAGCCCAGCTCTGCACGGTTGTTGGGGATACCCTGCAGCCATTGTTCACCTACCTGGGCAGAGTGTCTTCTGGGTGCCTCGCTGCTTCCCAAGCCCCCTTTCCCCTGCTGTTTGCCCTTCAGGAGCTCACACTCTGGCGGAAAGAGAGAAGAGCTAACATTTTTTGTGCACATTTTATATGAAGGTATTTTCAATGTACATGCAGGTAGATGAATTCTAGTGGAATAAATGGCTCCATACAAAGCCAAGGAGACCCTCTAATAGATCCGATTTGCAGCAAAGCCAGAGAGAATGGGCTTTGGGGCCAAGAGCAGGACTAGGTTTTGCTCAGTGCATCCAGCGCCCCAGATGCTTGCCTTCTGTTATTCTGTGGGTCCCTGATTGGCAGGAGGGCTCCCAGTCCTTGCTCACCTCTCAGCGGGATGCAGGAGAGCTGGACTGGTTCCTGGTGCACGTGGCGGAAGCCTGTCTTCCCACAGCTCACTCTTTTCTGCCTTGCATCTGGAGAGAGCCTCTCCAGGCCACCACTGCCCCAGGCCCCCCCTGAACCATCGGCAACGGCATGCCTTCCACACCTGGTCCAGGGTGCATTTTAGAAGCCACTTGCCATCACTGATTTTCCTGTCCTTACCCACTTATCCCTGTTCTCCAAACAGATATGAGAAAATGACCAGTGGCATGTACCTGGGGGAGATCGTGCGGCAGATCCTAATTGACCTGACCAAACAGGGTCTCCTCTTCCGAGGGCAGATTTCAGAGCGACTCCGGACCAGGGGCATCTTTGAAACCAAGTTCCTGTCCCAGATTGAAAGGTGACGTGTGATCAAGTTTACCTGCTGTGTGTGAAACGTTCCAAATGGGATGTGATGTTATCATGCCAGGCTCCGGTAGGCTTCAGAATTTAAAATTAAAACAGGATGGCCCTATTTGGGTGGGGGCTGATGCCTGGGCTGCTCCCTCTCCCCAGCTGTGTAAGATCACAGTCCCAAGATCCTTGAGTGTGGCTTGAGTGGGTTCAGAGTCCTTAGCAGAAATGACTAACTCCAGGAGTTAGATTAAGGCCAAAAAGTAATCTTCTTTTATTCCTGAAATGATGATCTGTCCATAATACAAAAGTCTTACAAAAAAAAAATCACCCATATGTTCACTACCAAATAATGATATTTTGCTGGGTGTGGTGGTGCATGCCTATGATCCCAACATCTTGGGAAGCTGAGGCAGGAGGATTGCAAGTTCAAAGTCATCTCAGCAACTTAGTGAGTCCCCTAAGCAACTTAGTGAGACCCTGTCTCTAAATAAAATATAAAAAAGGGCTGGGGATGTGGTTCAGGGGTTAAGCACCCCTGAGTTTAATCCCTGGTACCCAAAACAACAACAATAAACAAAAAATAAAAACAAAAAACCAAATATAAGTTTTGATTTTTATATATTGTATTTCCTTTTAAGTTCTTGAATACATATAAAGATGTTTTCACAATTGCAGTCATATTATATATATCAGAGGTAGAGGAAATAGTAAAATGAACTCAGCGTTTCTATTGCCACCATCATTGATGATCAATTCATGACTGAACTGGGTTCATCTGTACAATTTTGTACCCACCTCTGGGTTAGCTTAATTTGAAATAAATCCCATGTTTTATGTCATCTCATATATAAATATTTCAAATGTATTTCTAAAATATGAGTTCACTACAAAAGCATGACCACAGCACCTTTATCATGCCTGAATAGGAAATGATAAGCCTTAATCTCAAAATATCTTCTAGTGTTCTCACTTCCTGAATTGCCCAAAGAGTGATTTATATAGTTGTTTGCATCTGTAACAAGGTCCATGCATGGCATTTGGCTGATATGTTTCTAAACTCTGTTTTTACCTACAGCTTTTCCCACCCTCTCATTTCTCCTTAAAACATATTTGTTGAGGAAGCTATCATCTTATGTTTCCTATATTCTAGACTTTTCTGATTATAGCAATTAGCATTTTTCTCTCTCTCTTGTATTTTCTGAAAAACTTACAGCTAGATCGAGATGCTTGGTTAATTCAGTGTTGAATTTTGGACAAGCAGATTTCGTAGGTGGTCCTGAGCTGTCTGTCTTTCTTCTGTGATATCACCAGTGGTTGATGTTCATTGCTCCAGCCTCCTGAGTAGCTGGGATGATAGGCATGCACCACCACACACAGCTAATTTTTTTTAACCATACAAATATTATTCACTTATTTTTTAAAAAGTTTTAAGTGTATGGATAAACAAAAGGAAGAATATAAGTTGCTGGTAATCCTACAACATCTGAATAGCTTTCCTTCTGTTTTCTTGTTTTTGAGCGTGTGGTGGTTTCTTTGTTTGTTTTATTTTAGCCTGTGCATGACATTAAAACAAACTAAAAACCAAGGGCAAACATAATATTTTATAATCTATTTTTTACTGTCATGAATATTTTCCATGGCATTAAATATTCTCATAAAACTTAGCAATCTTGCTAAGTTTCTGAGGCTGGCCTCAAACTTGTAGTCCTCCTGCCTCGGCCTCCTGAGTTGCTAGGATTATAGGGACGCACCTGCTCAATCCTTTTTCTGGCCACGTAAGTTATTTCACAGTTATTCTTTCTTGACAACACACATCTTCCCTGAGTATCTCTGAGACAGTCAAGGATTAGCTTCACATTGTTTAGTTTGAAATTCAGAGCTCTGTGTAAGTATCACCTGTTACCACTAGTTTCCTGGGAAATAATTAGGGTCTAGACTTGAGGCCAGTCTGTCCCTGTGATGAGAGTTTTTCTGCATAAATTTAGAGTCCTATTTGGTGCTCGCCCCTTTTCTTATTTGGCACCAGGGATTCAAACCAGGAGTACTTAACCACTGAGCTATTCCCCAGCCCTTTTTTAATATTTAACTTAGAGACTGGGTCTCGCTGAGTTTCTTAGGGCCTCGCTAAGTTGCAGAGACTGGCTTTGAACTTGCAATCCTCCTGCCTCAGCCTGCTGAGCTGCTGGGATTACAGGTGTGCACTATCACACCCAGCTACGTATTTTATCTTCATCTGTTCCCTTTCTCATTGAATGTACTCAGCCCTGTGCTGGCTTCGGCTAAGAATATAGCTCTATTGTAGTTAGGAAGAGAAAGCAGATAATCAGAAAAAGTTAAGCAGAGGGACTAGGGTTGTGGCTCAGTGGTACAGCACTTGCTGTGAAGCACTGGGTTTGATATAAATAAATGAATAAAATAAAGGTCTGTCAACAACTAAAAAATTTTTTAAAAAAAGTTAAGCAGAAAGAAAATTGGGCTCCCGATGAATGGGGGCAGAGTCCTGGAGCTGGCCCTTGGGAGAGTGCTAGAGTTGGTGGGAGGGGGCTTGTGTCTGAACCTCTCTTCTCTGCTGTATGAGAGGGCAGGTCTCTAGCACTCTGAACCCCAGACTCTTCTTCTAAAAAGTGGGCCTCTGGTATATTGGTTGCTGACTCTAACATTAGCGCCTAGTGAGATGAGGGGTGTGAGCATGCCTAACACCAGAGGTGCTCACACTTTGCTCTTTAAAGATGATGGAACTTCTTGGGCTGGTGGAGCCTCTTGAGTCTCAGCTTCTAAGCATTCTGTTCCAGCTTCGCCTTTGCCTGGATCATTTTCTCTTTCTTCCTGCCAGGACATGCGTGGGGGGCAGTGGGAGTGTGGTCAAGCTGCCCAGGTTCCAGAGCCCCAGCAAACGGGGGCTGACACCCTCCTCTGCTTGCCCACAGCGACCGGCTGGCCCTCCTCCAGGTCCGGAGGATCCTGCAGCAGCTGGGCCTGGACAGCACGTGTGAGGACAGCATTGTGGTGAAGGAGGTGTGTGGAGCCGTGTCCCGCAGGGCGGCCCAGCTCTGTGGCGCAGGCCTGGCTGCCATCGTGGAAAAGAGGAGAGAAGACCAGGGGCTGGAGCACCTGAAGGTCACCGTGGGCGTGGACGGCACCCTGTACAAGCTGCACCCGCAGTGAGTGGCCCTGGGAGCGGGGAATGGGGTGGGGCAGGAGCTGTGCTGGTGGCCAACGTAGGAGAGGTGCCCCCGCCCTTGGCTGGCAGGGGGCTGGCACGGGTCGGGAGGACAGGGTCAAATCAGAGACAAGAGGGGAGTCCGGGTGCCTCTGCTTCTTGGTGGCACCGTGTGGGAATATTAGCCAACCTCTCCAAACCCCAGGCTTCTCATCTGTGACAGGCCAGCCCCAGTGATCCCTACCTCTTAGGGCAAAATGCAGGTGGATTAAATGAATTAATTTGTGCCAAGTGCTCTCTGCACCACACTTGAAAGCCATGTTATTATATTCCCACTTGACCCCACAGGGTAGTAAAGAGACCTGATTATTTTGCAGGGCACAGAGCTCTTGTCAAATATGAGCTGGTGATAATTTTCTTAGCTCAGAGTCCGGGGACAGAAGGAAGAAAAACCCCTGTTGCAAAACTTGGGTTTGACTCTTGGCTCCACCCAGTGGAGGCTGGGAGGCCTCCGGCTGCTTTGCACCCTCTTTGAGCCTTAGTTCTTTTTGTGGAATGAGGACCGAAATCTTACCTACCTCATACGTTGTCGTGAGGATTAGTTTTAAATAGCTTTAATAACGAAAGCTATTATTTTATTTAGTGTTTTGCATTTATTTGGCAAAAACGTGATGAAATAGCTAGCTTCTAAATTTCCATTTGTGTTGAACTGTATTCACGGAGACATTGATATTATGGTGAGCCTCAGCCCTTAGCCCTTGCTCTGCTGTGAGTAACTGACGGGCACCTTCTCTTGATCTTCCCCCGGGTGTCACAGAGTTTTGGTCTGGTCCCTTGAATCAAAACTTGAACAAGGGATAGGAACCATATGATTATTTCAATAGGTGCAAAGAACTTGATAAAATCTAATGCCCATCATAATAAAAGCCCTCCACAAACTAGGAATAAAGAAACTGCCTTAACCTGGTAAAAAGCATCTGTGTAAACCCACAGCTAACAAATGTAATGGTAAAAGAGTGGGCGATTTAGCCAGGCGCCGTGGCGATCGCCTGTAACCCTAGCAGCTTGGGAGGCTGAGGCAGGAGGATCGTGAGTTCAAAGCCAGCCTTAGCAACTTAGGGAGGCCCTAAGCAACTCAGTGAGATTCTGTATCTACATAAAATACACAATGGGGCTGGGGATATGGCTCAGTGGTCGAGTGCCCCTGAATTCAATCCCAGGTTGCTGCCCTCCAAAAAGAGCGGGTGTTTTGCTTTTAAGCTCAGGGACATGTCAAGGAAGTACACTCTCACCACTGTTGCTCAGCAATTCCTGTCTCAAGTGTGGCCACCAGATGATCACATGGCTTTTTATCTCTCAGACAAGGATTGATCCATGGGTGAGGCTTTCAGAATCCAGACTAAAAATATGTGACCCTCAAGGGGACAATCAATAGTGAATCTAGCCATGGCAGTTAGGGAAGAAAAGTTTTCAAAGAACATTCTATTGGAAAGTCCAGGGAAAACTGTCTTTATTTGCAGATGACATGATTTCATATAGAGAAAATCCCAAGGAATCCACGCACACACTCAAAAATTACTCGAGCTAGTAGACAAGTTCAGCAAAGTTCAGGATGCAAAATGGATACACAAAAGCCAATTGTAGCTGGGTATGGTGGCACATGTAAATCCAGCTCCTCAGCAGGCTGAGACAGGAGGCTCCCACGTTTGAGGCCAGCCTGGGCAATTTAGTGACACCCTGCCTCATAAAATAAAATAAAATGAAGAGGGCTGGGGATGTAGATCAGTGGTAGAGCACCCTGGGTTCAGTCCCTGGTACAACAATAAGAACAGAGATAAAGTCAATAGTACTCTATATACTTTCAACAAACAGCCTAAAAATGAAACTAAGACAGCAATTCCTGGGACTGGGGTGGTGGCTCAGTGGTAAAGTGCTTACCTAGCATGTGTGAGGTACTGGGTTCGATCCTAAGCATCACATAAAAATAAATAAATAGGGCTGGGGATATAGCTCAGTTGGTAGAGCGCTTGCCTCGAATGCACAAGGCCCTGGGTTCAATCCTCAGCACCACACACACACACACACACAATAATAATAAATAAAATAAAAATAAAAAAATAAAAGAAAGCAATTCCACTTACAATAGCATCAAAAGAACAAAATACTTAGGAATACACTTAACCAAAGAAGTATAAGATTTTTACTCTGAAAATTGCAAAACATCTAAAGACAATAAAGAAGAAATAATATAGGTAAATGGAGAGACATCTCATATTCATGGACTGAAGGACTTAATATTACTATGAGAGCAATAATACCCAAATTGATCTACAGATTCCACATAATCCCTATCAAAATCCCATCTGGGCTGGGTTTGCAGCCGAGCGGTGAAGCACTTGCCTAACATGTGTGAGGCCCTGGGCTCCATTCCCAGCACTGGGGGGAAGAATCCAATTGGTTTTTTTGGAGAAGTTGTCAAGCTGCTCCTAAAATTCATATGTATTCAATGTAAGGGTCCAGAACAGCCCAAACAATCTTGAATAATAAGAAAGTTGTAGGGCTGGGGTGGTAGTTCAGTGATAAAGCACTTGCCTAGCATGAGTGAGACGCTGGGTTTGATTCTCAGCACTGCATGTAAATAAATTAATTAATTAAAAGTCCACTGACAACTAAAAAAAAATTTTTTTTAAAAGTTTTCAAACTCACATTTCCTGATTTTAAAATCAGTGATTAAGACAGTATGGTACTGGCATAAATGGAGACATATAAATCAATGGAATGTAATTAAGAATCCAGAAATAAACCCTTATATATAGGTCAATTGATTTTTGATAAAGGCACCCAAACCACTCAATGGCCAAAGCCCAGTCTTTTCAACCCACGGTGTGACAACTGGGTAGACACCAACAAGAACACAGAGTGGGACACCTGCCTCCCACCACGCATGGCGTTAACTCAAAATGAATCGAAGCCCTGAATGGAGGAGCTAAAACTAAAAAATCTTAGAGGAAAACGCATGTAAATCTTTGTGACCTTGGATGAGATAATGATTTCTTAAATCTGACATAAAAAGAAAAAAGAAATAAGCAACAATAACAACAAAAAAAGACAAATTGTACTTTATCAAAATTAAAAATGGGGCTGGGGTTGTGGCCCAGGGGTAGAGCGCTCGCCTAGCATGCGTAAAGCCCTGGGTTTGATCCCCAGTACCACATAAAAATAAAATAAAGGTAATGTGTCCACCTACAACTTAAAAAAAAATTAAAAATGTGCCAGGTGAGGTGGCACACGCCTGTAATCCCAGCGGCTTGGGAGTTTGAGACAGGAGGATCAGGAGTTCAAAGCTAGCCTCAGCAACAGCAAATTGCTAAGCAACTCAGTGAGACCCTGTCTCTAAATAAAATGCAAAATAGGGCTGGAAATAAGTTAACAAATAACCCAATCAACAAATGGGCCAAGGACCTGAACAGACACTTCTCAGAGGAGGACATACAGTCAATCAACAAGTACATGAAAAAATGCTCACCTTCTCTAGCAGTCAGAGAAATGCAAATCAAAACCACCCTAAGATACCATCTCACTCCAGTAAGATTGGCAGCCATTCTGAAGTCAAACAACAACAAGTGCTGGCAAGGATGTGGGGAAAAGGGTACTCTTGTACATTGCTGGTGGGACTGCAAATTGGTGCGGCCAATTTGGAAAGCAGTATGGAGATTCCTGGGAAAGCTGGGAATGGAACCACCATTTGACCCAGCTGTTGCCCTTCTCGGACTATTCCCTGAAGACCTTAAAAGAGCGTACTACAGAGATACTGCCACATCGATGTTCATAGCAGCACAATTCACAATTGCTAGACTCTGGAACCAACCCAGATGCCCTTCAATAGATGAATGGATAAAAAAATGTGGCATTTATACACCATGGAGTATTACGCAGCACTAAAAAATGACAAAATCATGGAATTTGCAGGGAAATGGATGGCACTAGAGCAGATTATGCTAAGTGAAGCTAGCCAATCCCTAAAAAACAAATGCCAAATGTCTTCTTTGATATAATGAGAGCAACTAAGAACAGAGCAGGGAGGAAGAGCAGGAGGATAAGATTAACATTAAACAGAGACATGAGGTGGGAGGGAAAGGGAGAGAAAAGGGAAATTGCATGGAAATGGAAGGAGACCCTCATTGTTATACAAAATGACATATAAGAGGTTGTGAGGGGAATGGAAAAATAAACAAGGAGAGAAATGAATTACAGTAGATGGGGTAGAGAGAGAAGATGGGAGGGGAGGGGAGGGGGGATAGTAGGGGATAGGAAAGGTAGCAGAATACAACAGTCACTAATATGGCATTATGTAAAAATGTGGATGTGTAACCGATGTGATTCTGCAATCTGTATTTGGGGTAAAAATGGGAGTTCATAACCCACTTGAATCTAATGTATGAAATATGATATGTCAAGAGCTCTGTAATGTTTTGAACAACCAATAAAAAAAAAAATAGTGCTGGAGATGTGGCTCAGTGGTCAAGTGTCCCTGAGTACCCCGCCCCCTGCCCCCCACCAAATTTAAAAATGTTGCTGGGAGCAGTGGTGCATGCCTGTAATCCCAGTAGCTTGGGAGTCTGAGACAGGAGGATTGTGAGTTCAAGGCCAACCTCAGAAACTTAGTGAGGCCCTGAGCAACCCAATGAGACCCTGTCTCTAAATAAAATACAAAAACGGGCTGGGGATGTGGTTCAGTGGTTAAGTGCCCCTGGGTTCAATCCACTGTACCTAAATAAATAAATAAATAAATAATAAGAAATGTTGTGCTTCAGAGGACACCACAAAGAAAAGACAACCCACAAAATAAGAGAAAATATTTGTAAATCATGTATCTGACAAGAGACTTATATATAGAAAAGACCATTTAGGACTCAACCTAAAAAAGACAAATTACCCAAATAGCAAATGGATGAAGGCTGTGCAGTCATTTCTAAAGAAGATATACAAATGGCTATGAGCACAGGAAAAGGTGCACAATATCATTAGTCCCTAGGAAAATGCAAATTGGCCATAAGGTAACATCTCCCCCACTGGGATGACTATTGGGTGACAGACACAATAGCAACTGTTGCTGAGGATGTGATCCAGTTGGAACCCCCATACACTGAGGAGGGAACACAAACTGATGTGACTGCTTTGGGAAACAATTTGACAGTTCCTAAAAGAGAAAACATAGAATCACTCTGTAACCCAGCATAGAATCACTCTATGACCCAGCAATCCTATTCCTAGGTGTACCCAAGAGAACTGAAAACCTATTTCCACAAAAGAACCCATAGCAAGATGATTCATAAGAACTAAAAAGTGGAAACAGCCCAAGTGTCTTTCAGCTGATAAGTCAATAAACAAAATATCATATAGTTCTATAATGGAATATTATTCTGCCATAAAAAAGAGAGTGAAGTACAGACACATGGACAACATTGGTGCACCTTGAAAATATGTTCAATGACCAAAGTCAGACAGTAAAGGCTACCTAATGAAATTTTGTACAATTTTATTATATGAAATGCCCAGAATAATCAGATCTATTCCGATAGAACATAAATTGGTGGTTGTTGGGGGGATCCTGTGGATATGAATGGAGATGACCACTAATAGGTATGGAGTTTTCTTTTAGGCTAATGGTGATAATTGCACAACTTTGTAACACTAAAAATTATTGAATTGTGTAGTTAAGTGTGGGGGGCGGACAAAATGGCTTGACTGCCAAGCCCTTTTCTTCTCTGTCCCTGGCAGTTTGGGGCTCACCACCCATAAGACCCCAGGGAGCTGCAGTGGTTTCCCCAGGCTGCCCTCTGGCTGGGCGTCAGAGTTGGTTCAGAACCTGCTCGGGCAGGCTGGCCCTCTGAGATGACCAGCACCTGTACCATTCAGGTAACCCAGGATTCTCTAGCTACGTTCCTGGGCCTCTGTTAAACACACCTTGACCCCACCCACGAGCCTGATGACTCTGACCCTGAACATGCCCGTTCAGATGGATCTAATGCCTCAAAAGACAGCAGAGAAAGGCCAGGGGTCACTGTGATGCAGATGGCGTGACTTACGGAAAATGAGAGGCGGATGCGCGGGTGTCAGTGGATAAAGCAAGCAGGGCCCAGTTTTTACTTGTTGAGCTTGAGTGGAGGGTCACAGGTGTCCACTGGACTATTTTTTTCACTTTTTTGAAAGCCTGAAAATTTTTGAAGTAAAAAGTTGGGGGGAAATTTTAAACCCCAAATGAATAAATGAATGAAGGTTTTGGAAAAAAGCCAATCTTGATAAACTGATTAGTTGTACAAATTCAGACACATCTCTCAACTGTATCTTTATGTTGTAGAGAGAGTAGTAATCATATCTGAGCGCTATTTGTTATTCTTCATTATTCTGTAGGTAAAACACCTAGAACAATCCCTGGCATTAATAGTTGCTCAATAAAAGGCACGACTTGAGAAATGAGCTGGGAGGACAAAACTAGACCGGAAGAGTTATAAATGTGCGTATCCCATCTGCAAGAGCTGACGACGTTTCTGTCCTTTTTACAGCTTTTCTCGGGTACTGCAGGAAACAGTGAGAGCACTAGCCCCCCAGAGTGACGTGGCGTTCATGCTGTCAGAAGACGGCAGTGGAAAGGGAGCGGCTCTCATCACTGCTGTGGCCAAGAGGACACAGCAGTCACGGAAGGAGAACTAGGAGTCCCCAAGGTCGGGCCTGACGCACCTCGGATACTCACCAGCCCTTCCTCTGGCAGATGAGTGGGTCAGGGACCAAAAGGCCACCTCCCGACGGACTTCCCATTCTTGGTGGCTGAAAGAGGACCCCAGGTTCTCGGGTACTCTTAGCATCTGGTTACTGGCTTTGCAGTGGCATTATATGACATCTCCATTCGGTATGTTTGGGCCAACGACAGCCCAACTTGTGAAATTGAAGTCTCTGGCCTGAGAGATCCCCTTTCTGTAAATGGAGTCCTGAGCGCCAGTTCTCTATGGCTTTGGGTCCCGTGGCTGCTGGGCTTGGGAACACAATCAGTCTGCCCCCATGGCCCGGGTGACTGAGTTCCTCCCGGAGATGCTCGAGGAGTACCCTGGGTTGTCCACTTGACGATGATGAACAATTCAGAGGATGAGAGACTCATGCAATAAACCAGGGGATTATAATCTAACTTGTGCTCAACTCATCACGTTGACTTCAAATGTGAGGCAAGAACAAAGACTTTGGAGTGTTCAGCCCGAGAGGCAGAGGGGCTGGTTGGCCAGTGCCCCACGGGAGTCATTCCGTGCTTGCAGGAAGCTGTACAAGCACCCTGTGGGATCTTGTTCCTCAGTGTGGGTCACGGCATGTGCTTGAGGCATCTTTTTCGTGGTTGCGTTGCTGCGTTGATGGCTTTTCAAGGTCTGCTAGGTCTATGAAATCCAGCCACTGAATAAAAAAACATTTGGTTTCCCAAGAAACTTGGCATGAGGTGTTGATCTTTGCTCTGGGAGGCTCCCTTGGTATCTCCTTGTCCTGTTGGAAGGATAAGGAAGCCGTAGAGTCAGGAGGCGCTGAGGATCTCTTTAGTCCAGACTTCATGCCAGCTGGAGGAAATGTTTGGACTGACTTTACAATACCCTTAGCAGAATATGCTCAGTTCACTTTAGAACTGGAGTTGACTGGGGTCCTCTTTCAACCTCCATGGTTACATTCCCCTCCCTGAACTGGGCCCCTCCCGCACACCCATTTATCTCCATTCTGTTCTCCAGAACTGTGTGGAACTGGCCTATCCTTGACCCTTTCTCCAGCGGACATCCATTTCTCTCTCTCTCTTTCATTCTTCCCTCCTACTCTTTCTCTGAACTGTCTGTGACTTTCTTGTTGCCTAGTTACATCCTTATCTGGCCTAGCAGATAACAATATCTTTTTCTTGGGCTGGGATTGTGGCTCAGTGGTAGAATGCTCACCTGGCACGTGTGAGGCACTGGGTTCCATCCTCAGCACCACATAAAAATAAAATAAAGATTCTGTGTCCACCTAAAACTAAAAAATAAATATTAAAAAATGCATAGAATTACAAAGGAAACCAACGGTATTGAATTGTATAGTTAAGAAAGTGGAGCTGGGCATGGTGGTGCATGCCTGTGATCCCAGAGGCCTGAGAGGCTGGGGCAAGAGGATTAAGAGTTCAAAGACAGCCTCAGTGACTTAGCAAGATCCTATCTCTTTGGTTTTTTAAAATAAAAAATTTTAAAAAACCAAAGAGCTGAGGATGTGGCTCAGTGGTTAAGTGCCCCTGGCTTCAAACCCTGGTACAAAAAAAAAGTGGTGATATAGTTATATATGTGCTTCTTTATTAATGCATTATGTATCAAGATCCAACAAAACCTAATAACAATTATAATTTTGAAGTCTTGGTGAGTGTAAACAGTATTTTGAGACATTTGCAACAACAGTAATGAAACTATCTGTATTTTCTACTGGAAACAAAGTCACAAGTGCTGCTAACATTGATGTGGTTCTGTTTTTCCAGAAGTATTTAGAATTGCATCTTTGTTTTGCCTACTAGTCTATAATGTTGAATGGATTTTCCCTTTATCTCTTGTAGCATTCTATGTCTTTTCAACCTGAGACCCTTTGTTTTTACTAATCGCAGAAAATGTATGAATGAGGTTTTGCTTTTTTTAAAAAAAATATATTTATTTTTTAGTTGTAGTTGGACACAATACCTTTATTTCACTTATTTATTTTTATGTGGTGTGAGGATCAAATCCAGGGTCTGGCATGTGCAAGGAAAATTCTCTACCATTGAGCCACCACCCCCGCCCCCGATTTTGCTTTTCTTCAAATATTTTCAATTTTTTTAATTTCTTTTCTTTCTGGCACCTCAATTTTCCAAATGTTGGCATTTCTACTTCTGTTTTCCATAGTGTTTAACTTATCAAAAGATATTATTTCTTTTTCACAGCTGCTTACTCAGAGATTTCCTCAATTTGATCTTCCAATTCAACAGTTCATTCTTTAGCTGTGTCTATTCTGACAGGTATCTATCTGTCATGTCTTTGGCTATTTTCTAAAGAGTGTCTTTCAAAGAACAAAAATTTTTAATTTTAATGAAGTTGATTTATGATTTTTTTTCTTTTATGGCTATGCTTTTTGTGTGTTATCTAAAAAAATTAAATATGAAACAATGACAACAAAACTCTAAAACCTTTGTCTAATTTTTCATTATCTTATTTTTTCATCTACCTATATTATGTGTTTTATATGTAATATATATGTAATATATGTAACAGTTATTTTTTCTTCTTTTTGTGGGTTTTCTTTTTTATTCTAATATGTTATAGATGACAACAGAATACAGTACAATTCATATCACACACATAGAGCACTATTTTTCATATCTCTGGTTGTACACAAAGTATATCCACACCATTCATGTCTTCATACATGTACTTAGGATAACGATGTCCAGGGTTTTCTTTTTTGCTTATTTGTTTTTTGGATACAAGATCTCACTCTGCTGCCCAGGCTGACTTTGGATTCACAGGTTCACGTGGTCATCTTTTCTCAGCCTCCTTAGTATCTTGAACTGCAGACTCTTGCCACTGCGCCTGACTCTTCTAATTCTCTTTCTTTTTTCACAACTTTTTCATGTGTTTATTTTCTTCCTTATTTCATTATATATGTCTAGCTACCTATTTTACATTCTTGGTCTCTCTATTCTAAGATTTCTGATTTAGACAGTGTATGTTGCCCAGTTTATTGACATTTTCTTTCAGGTAGTTCTTCCTATGAGTTTTGCCTGTGAACTTATACTCATGCAAGGATCACCCTGTGCTCTGTGTTGGAATGTGGCCTGGGTCAGGGCCACCCCAGCCTGAGTTCAGTGAGAGATCGGGGAGGCAGAATTTTAGGGCAAAAGTCCCGGGCACCCCAAATCCTCCCTCAGGGAAACATTCCTGTCAGCCTGAAGCACCTCTTAGGCAGTGTTTTAGGAACTGGTCTTTAACCTCTTAGGAATAAGCAGTGCTCAAAGGAGACACCTCACCTGGTGTGGTCTGGAGAGGGGACATCTCACCTGGGGGAGACCTCCCAGTCCTGACAGGGTAGGTCAGTGCCGGAGACTAGTCAAGCTTCACCTGCTCCCCGGCTCATCACCCAAACACAACTCAGCTCTGCTTCTCCTCCATGGACACCTGTGCTGAGCTCTCAGGATTCCCTGTCACTAGTGAGGGATCAGGAAACAGTTGTCTTGGGTTACACGTAGGGAGCAGTGGAAGCTGAATTGATCAGCAGTGGAAGCTGAATTGATGAACTTTTTGTGGTCCTGGGGATGGAACCCAGGGCCTCCCACATGCTAAGCACAGCTCTCCAACTGAGCCACCCCCCCAGCCCAGAAGCAGAATTTAAACTGCTCTTCTAGAGCTGTACCCACCTCCCCCAATGCTATCCCAACACTTAAAAAGCAAAGCAAAGCAAAACAAAAACCTCTTCTCTAACTCATTAATTCCAACCACAAAGACAGTCATTTCATGTGGTGCAGTTGATACAAGGGGGTATGTTGTTTTTGTTGTTAGTGGTAATAAAAATGAGCTTTTACTCTATATGTTACTTTTTTTTTGTTTTGGATTAACAATAAGTTTTTTTTTTTTTGGTTAAGAAAACAGCATGGGTAACTCCTATGATTTAAGTCATCTTTAGCATTTTTATAGCTCCTTATAAGCCTAAATCAAATTCTATCTACCAGGTTCTCCAGAGCTGATAAAATCGATGTGTTTTATAGTGATCTACGGAGGGATGAAGGATGGGGCTGGGTCTGCTGGTGGGATTGAGGCTGAGGGGGCAGAGAAAACGAGGGTTCCTAGGAAAACTGACAGGTTAGCCAGGGTCCCCCGGCAGACCCATCATCTGGGGGCCATTCTGCGGCTAACACTCACTGCTGGCCCGGCAGCCTCTGGCGTGCTCTCCTGGGTTTTATGTGTGTTTGACCTGTTTGTCTACGAGGCTTTGGAAGCCCAGCCCCCACTCTGCCCCGTGCCTGGTTGAAGAAGACAGCGCTTCAGGTCAAATCAGAAACCCATCTCTCCCCTCACAGAGAGCTGGGGCCCTTGGCTGGACCCTGGCCCAGATTCTGGCTCCTGTCTGGTCTGCGTGTGAGGAGGGGAGCGCTTTGGGGTGAAGGTGGAGTGCCCGGGTTGGAAGCTAGGCTGTGGACTGCTGGACAGCGCCTGGGCTTCTGTACAAAAGACAATTGAAGTGTAGCTCAGTTCCTGTGATAACCCTGTCCCCGCCCTCCGGCTTCCCGGGGCTAGAAGCCTGTGGGAGCACATAGCTGGCATTTTTGCTGGAGATTAGGAAGTCTTTTGCTACCTCTGCGAAGAAGCTTGAATTCAATGGACTGTTGTGGTAGGATGGAGTCTTTTTTTCTTTTTTTTTAAGGGAAAAAAAAAAAAAGAAATTCGAGATTTGGCTCAGGTTGTTACAAGGCAGTGGGACGATGAGCTCTCTCTCCAGTGTTGGGCAAGAAGCCACTTTGAGGGTGAGAAGCCACTTCATGTGGTCACATCGTTTGTTTGTCCGGCATCCTCAAGAGAATAGAGAGGCTGTGATCCCAGGAGCCTTGGAGGAGTGAATGTTCACTGTGATGCTCCAAAGACCATCTTCAAGCAAGAAGGGTCAGAGCCCCATTTCATAGTAAGTTTCGTTTCTTTTCTTTTTTCTTTCTTTTTTTCTCTTTTGAACCCTAGGGTGCTTTACCACTGAGCCACATCCCCAGCCCTTTTTTAATATTTTATTAGAGACACGGTCTTGCTGAGTTGCTCAAGGCCTCGCTAAGTTGCTGAGGCT